AATAAATTAAGAAATGTTTAAATAATAATTAAAGTGTTAGACAACACTTTAATTATGTAAGGAGTACTTACAAAAGCCTTAGGAATTAATCGGGATAGTTCTAGGCGTTTTCGGTGTGAAAGTGGTCCAAAAGGAGAGTTTTCGGTTCTGACCGAAATCAGTCTTCGGTCCGGAAGGGTTCTCGGTCAGAAGGAGGTTTTCGGTCTAGTGGTTCTCAGTCCATATGGTTTACGGTCAGGTTGAAGATTTAAAGATTGTTCTTGGTGTTCTTGGTGAAAATTATGAAGATTTGAAGGATTTTGCTTGAAGGTTTGAAGTTTCTTGGATGATACTTGAGAGAAAAATGGGTGTGTTTTCGGTTGGAAAAGTAAGAAATGACTTATGTTTTCGAGTTAAATCATATATATCGAGAGGCTTCTCGGTCGGAAGGGAGTTTTCGGCCGAAAAGGGTTTTCAGTCGGAATCTGATTTCGGTCAAGGGGGTGTTCTCGGTGGGGTTTTCAGTCCGAAGAGTAGGACCTTTCGCATGTTCTCGGTTCCTAATTTGGCCCCAAAATTGTGTTTTTAGTCTAAGTGTTTATATCCCAACATTAAAATACTTATATAAAAATATCATTTATATATTTTAAATCATATTTAACCCTTATAATTTTAACAAAATAAACAAAAAAAAAATTCGAATTTTAATTAGATGGTTTGACTTTCATTGACTTTTGTTGACTTGGAAATAACGGGTTGTTACACACTCCAAAATTATTTAACCCATGCAGCATGCGACTTAACGTATTCAATTAATAGTTAATTCACACCCGAAAGAGTCCTACAACAATAAGCAAGGAAACTCTATAGGAAATAAGGCATCATACAACAGGCAATTTTATCATGCAATTCCTGAAGATCCTTGTCCTACAATTAGCACGTTGTTCTATCATATCATAACAAATAATAGTATGGGTAATTTGGGGTATACTTTCTTGCTCTGGGTGATCGTACACATCACATCCTTCCTTGGTTGTTTTTGAAAACCATTTAAAAAACTTTTGCAGTTCCCTAGTTTGAGTCTGGATTCACACAAATGTCCATCCAATTCTCTCAAACCAAGGCTCTGATACCAACTTGTAACACTCCAAATTCAAAGAAATTTAAAATTTTCAAAATCAACCATTAACCAACATTGTTTACAAAAGGAGTCATTGTTTCAAAAACATTATTTCAAAATCAAAGTTTTTCCCAAGACCTAGTGACATAAAACAGGAAGATGTGCACGATCACGTCTTTGCTTTCCCACGATCCTCAGAAGTACCTGAAAAAATAAACTAAAATTGTAAGCCAAAGCTTAGTGAGTTCCCCAAAGTACCAACACACGCATACATATAACAACATATACTGGGTCCACAACTTAAAAACACTGAATTACCCATGAGCCCACAGTATGAGTCTGACATGCCTATCGGGCCCTCAGCTCATATCTGAATTGCTCCCGAGCCCACAACATAAGTCTGGCTTGCCCTCGGGGCCCACAACTTATGTCTGGATTGCTCCGGGTTTGTTGGCTACCGCACAAAGCAGTACAACCTCAACCCAACAAAATATGTCGACATATGTAACAAATAAACATAACATGGAACCATCAAATACATATAAACATACATATCTTAGCAGATCACTACATCATAGCAACATCCTATAACATGATGCATAATTTGTTGGGTCGGCATTGGTGCCTTTGACCCCCAAGTACAGTGAGGAAGACTCGCCTCTCAGTCTAAATGCAAGCTGAATAAATCTCTGCTCCGAAAAATCGACGCAACAATCACCTAACCAAAATCGAGTACCTAATCTCAGTTAACATCTCAACATACCAAAATACCCCTAGGTCAAACTTGGTCAAAAATTCGGTCAAAGGCCAAGGTCAACGAGTCAACTCGGGCAACTCTGCTGAGTACGCGGGGCGTACTCAGCTTGTACGCTGGGAGTACACGGGCCTTGATCAGGATCAGGAGGTTGACTTCGTACGCGCGGCGTACGCTCGACGTATGCACCAAAGTTCTTTTTACTTATTAAGAGCTTAATGCGTTAAGCTCTTACGTTCCAATTACAGATTCAAGGCTAAAATACCACTGAGAGTCATAAAGTTTCCAACTTTATGACTTTGCATGCGCATTAAGTGCTTAATACCAACATTCTTAACTTCTTAACACCTAAAGACCTTTTAGAGCATGCATGGGGAAGAACTAAGCATCAATATCTCATTTTTATGACTCAAGACCCATCATTGTGTCTGAAAGGACGACTTATTTGGTTAAGAGCATGTCATGCTCAAGAATCACAAAGGTTGGGACCAAAAATGCCCTAAATGAAGAAATAACTAGATCCATAAGAAAAGATGATCAAACTAGGAGTTTTTTACCTCCAGAAGGTTGCTAGCAAGGTGAGGATCCCAGATCCAAGCTTCTTCCAAGCTCCAATGTCCTTCTACCACCTTCTTCTTCTTCAAGAACACCACCAAAACACACAAATATGCTCAAAGTGCACTCTTCTCACTTAGGGTTAGCTAGAGGGACGATTTTTAGGTGGAGGCTGATGAGGGTGAAGGTATCAGGGCCATAAGGAGGATTATATAGGGTGCAAACCCTTAAAACTCGGGTTTTGGTATGAACAGCGTACGCGCTGCGTACCTAATGAGTACGTCGGGTGTACGCATATGAGTCTCGCTTCCTTCATGCATGAGTACGCCAAGCGTACATCCCGAGTACGCACGGCGTACAGACCAAATGTCGATATTTTTAAAAAAATAGGGTTAAGAATGAACCTTTCTCGGAACGGGTGTTACAGTAAAAGTGGATATTGTTGATTTGTAAGCACGAAGCTTGTAGTTAGTTGCCAAATAACTTGATTTTTCGTATATTCAAACCTTTGTATTGCTTAGATATCATAGTTTCATAAGCATGTTGACGTAAAAACCCGCCACACATTGTAAGGCATAAAATCACTATTGTATTTGAAAATGAATTACACTTAACATATATTAGGAAAGTTAAGAATGGCACCATATTCCATCTCTTTGTCCTTGCGAGTATCTTAGTGAACCACAATATTGAAGTTGGTCGATGTCATCTTCCTCATCCTCTTTTTCCTAAGCGATTCGTTTGAATTTGGACAACTCTAACGAGGGGACATGATAGCCATCATCATCCTTGTCATGTAGGGAAGTCGATTCAGATCTAACATCCTCGGTAGGTGAGCTTAATTGGAACTCAAGCTTTTGAACCAATTATCATAAGTATTCAATCATGATGCCATATCGATTGGTCATGATATATTGCCTCTTATTTTTGATATTATACAAATCATAGACTGATAAACATTGGTTGTTCACCTCCACACTTAGAATGTTGATGATTTTAAGCTTCACAAGGCCTTCAACATCCGGTTATTGTATTTAAATATTTATACCATATGATGAACATGGAGAACAATACGAACAATCCTTGTTCTAAATAAAATTTATCAAAATTCTTTTAGACTTTAAATAATACTAACAAACTTAGTTATTTTAATGTTAAACAAACTTTTTCATAAGAACTCTAAGCCCAAGGAATCTAATGGACACAATAGTTTATCTAAAGTTTTGTGGTTTTCTTTAACATTATAGTGTTTTTATGTAATTAGTTCATGCATAAAAGGAAACAAAATACATAATAATGACTTCCAAATCTGCTAAACCAACACGACAAGGCACTATGCATGACCGTTAGGAGGGTTTGATCTATCTACCGGTGGCCATTGATAGTTCACGAGGAAGATTGAATTTGTCTATCAATGGTCAATGATATGTCTATCGGTGAGGTCTGCCAATCTGCCACTATTGAGACGTCGACGTATCGTTTTGCATTGCCACTTAGTTTCCAACATCATGATTTTTATATTATTTGGACTTTTTTAAAACCTTAGAGCTGCTTAGCGTAACTTGACTTGTTTGGTATATATTACAAGTCATAGAAGAATGCCCTAGTATTATTGAAAGCAAGAGCAAGGTCCACAAGTAGGGTTTTCAAGCACAAAGACTTGATAGGTTATATATCGGTACAACTTTGAACATTGGATACTTTAATTTTATATATAGATAGAATTGGTTTATTTTATTACGTTGGCATGGACGCAAACATATTGTAAACTCTACATTTTTTTAGTCTATTTAAGTTTTGTGTTGTTGCTTATAATTTGGCTATTATTGTATAATGCTTAGGCTATCTTGATTCTTTGTTATTACGATGATAACAGATATTTATATATGGAAATTTTACGGTTATTATTTTATTGATTCACAGTCCTATATAAACAAAAAAAAATTATAATACTAGTTCCGAAGAATGAATTGTTCACATTAGTCCACCATCCTGAAATCTTTATAGCACCCTTTTGAATTCTTTATAGCGTTCACACCCTATAACAAAAGTGATTTGATTATATATAATATATTTTTTTATATAATAATTAATATTTTATAGAATTGTAAAATATAACATTTTTAAACATATGATTACCGTATTACCGTGTATACGAAAGAGACAACAAGGTTCCAAACTAGTAACTATAAATAAGATATAGATTGACTTAATTAATTAGTCAAAAAAAAAGTACAATGTACAGTTTTTTTAACGGGACTTCAACTTTAAAAAAATACACCACCTGATACTTTAAAAAAATGACACCACTTGATACGAGATACGCTGAGCTAGTATCAACAACCGAGTACAATGTACATATAGTGTACATATATACAGTTGAAAATTTAATTTAGCATTATCTATTCCCATTAATGATCTCGTACACCTTCAATACAAGGTAAGATAAAACAAGATATTTATTAAAAAACTGTAATTTTATAATCGTTAATTTTACATCATAAGACGTGGAATACCTATTAAAAATCGAAAATAATCAATTATGAAAAGTCAAAATTGGAAAATCTTGACTCGCCAAATGCATTTGTCCTCATGCTTGCAACAGTTCGCTACTCCCCTGTTTCCGCCATTGACGAGGAACCTCAAGCTTTCAACATCATTCCTAACTTCACAACTAAAATCAACAGAGAATTTTATAAAATCAAATCAAAATTTATTTCAATTATTAATTTTCATAATCAGCCATCGTTTGTTCGTCTAGAATCTCCAATAAATGAACGTATTGGTTTTATATTAATTCATGTGTTTTCCATTCTTTAGGCTTTTCAAATAAATTTTCATGTTAATTATTTTATTCATTTTATCCAATTAAAAAAAACAGTAACCACAATAATACGTAAATATTCACCCAGTGTCCCCCACATAAATTTGATAGTTTTTGATCTTTCATGGAACCCCATAAATGGCTTGCTTTCTTTGACCATTCTTTCTGTCTGCTCCCATCTTTCAAGAATTATATATATACATAGGGATATACGTATGTATATCTCCATCTTCAAATCCATACACAGATAGAGAGCCAAAAGAGGCAAACTTTCTACAATATCTAAAGTGCATTCCAAATTCTAAAGCGTTGAATCAACAAAAACGTGCACCTAGGTTTGAATTTTGATTCACATAACTCAGAATCAAATCAAACTACTTATAAAAAAAAATTCTTTGGTCAATCTTTTGCACAATTTAAAAAATTCAAAGACGTGTATTATATAATTTCCACAAGGGGTTTCGTATAAATAGGCAAGGGCGAGGGTTGTCATTCTCATCATCAATTCATCAGTCATACAAGCAGCAAACAAGACCTTCAACTCTATTTTCTTTATTCAAGAACAAAAGAAGCATAGCCAGTGTTTACAAAAGGTGAGTGTTTTTAGTTTTAATTTCTGGGTTTGATTCATTTTCGCTAATAATTTAGTGGGTGTTCTTCGTTTTTCAATTGGCTCCCATGATTTGCTGAAAAAGTTGTATCTTTTTGAAAGCAGATGTGTGTTTGTTTGTGTTTGTTTTTTGTTCTTTATTCTTATGCCACTTGGGCTGTGTTATCTTCTTCAGCGAATTTGGGTTGATTTGTTCAATTATTACTAGTATATAGACGAAAAAAAGTTTGTCTTTGTGTTCAATTATTTGACATCTTTCTGTTCTTGACATCAATTTAAAAACTAATTATGTTACAATCTTGCAGGTGATCTCTAACTGTTATGGGTTTATCCTTGTCACTGTTATCATCAGCTTGGGAAGTAATCTTGAGACATGGTTTCTTAGATCTACCTTACGATCTTGATAACCTCGAAAACCGATTACGAACCAATAGTTTCAAAAAACCCGAATCAGAATCCGAATCCGAACGAATCTCAAAAACCTCTAGTGATTCACAAGATTCAAGTCCTAGAAGTAAAAGAAGGAACTCAATCAGTTTAAAGAGCTGTGAACCATTAAAGATCATGCTTGAAACAACCCTTTCATTCAAGAACTTGGTTCATGACATTAGAAAACCCGAACCAGAGAACCCGAATCATGAAACGGGCCATTTGGGATCCACAAACCTCCTCCCTGAACCTGCTGTGTTCTTTTCGCCAAGGCCAGTTAGTGAACTTAACGATGCAGCTACTAGAGTTCAGAAAGTATACAAGAGTTATCGAACTCGAAGAAACCTAGCCGATGGTGCTGTTGTCGCTGAGGAACTATGGTTAGTTTTCTAGACTTCTACTTGTCCAAAATGTAGATTTGACTTTTGAAATTGCGAAGGTCAAACTGTTCGTGTTTAGTTAGTTTTTTTTTTTTTTTTTTTTGAAACATATGATGATGATGTGTTGCAATTGCAGGTGGAAAGCTTTGGATTTTGCTGCTTTAGATAGAAGCTCGGTTTCTTTTTTCAACGTCGAGAAACACGAAACCGCAGTTTCACGGTGGGCCCGGGCTCGCACCAGGGCTGCTAAAGTCGGAAAGGGTCTGTCAAAGAACGAAAAGGCTCAAAAACTCGCCTTGCAACATTGGCTCGAAGCTGTAAGCATCCAAACACCCAGTCAACTTTTCCTTTGTTGGATTTTTATCAAAAGTTTTAAAGATTTGCTCATAATCAATCGATCTTCTTCGACTTGCAGATTGACCCACGCCATCGTTATGGCCACAACTTGCACATTTACTACGATCTCTGGTTCGAAAGTGAAAGCTGCCAACCTTTCTTCTACTGGTTGGACGTCGGAGATGGTAAAGAAGTAAACCTCGAGAAGTGTCCGAGGGCTCATCTACAGCGTCAATGCATCAAATACTTGGGACCTGTAAGTGATCTCATTCCAAGTTCCACGATCAATTTGTGTCGAAAACATGTAAATTTTCCATTTGTTAATTAACAATCTTTTTTTCAACAGAACGAAAGGGAAGCATACGAAGTGATTGTTGAAGGCGGGAAGCTTGTTTTCCGGAAAACTGGTTTACTTTTGGAAACCATCGAGGGTTCCAAATGGATCTTTGTCCTAAGCACCTCAAGAAACTTGTACGTTGGTCAGAAGAAGAAGGGCCTTTTCCAGCATTCCAGTTTTCTAGCAGGTGGCGCCACCACAGCTGCCGGACGATTAGTCGCACATGGCGGTGTTCTCGAGGTACAACTCGTTAATGCATGTTTTCACTCAAAGATTCGGGATTTAATGATTTATGTTTGTAAAACTCAATTATTTCCGGTTGATTTTTCAGGCTATTTGGCCATACAGTGGTCACTATCTCCCAACTGAAGAAAATTTCAGGGAATTCATTAGCTTCTTGGAGGAAAACCATGTTGATCTCACGGATGTAAAGGTATATTTACATATCCAATTTGTATGCATTAAATACTTGTACATTTTGTGCAACATTTGGATTCTGATTACAACTTTTAATGCAGAGATGTTCGGTTGACGACGATGACGTCAGCATCGGCTTTTCATTTAAGGTAGATGAACCCAAAACCGAACCTGAACCTGAACCCGAATCAAAACCTACACCACTTGTTATTCCGCATCAAGAACCCATTGACATTCTTCGTACACCTACCAATGTTGAGCGTACAAGTGCACCAAGCATGGATGTCAAGGCTAGCCCGATGCATTATAATTTGGCTAATCGTCTGTCATGCAAGTGGTCATCTGGAATCGGGCCCCGTATCGGTTGCCTTCGGGATTATCCAGCTGAGCTACAATCTCGAGCCCTAGAACAAGTTAACTTATCTCCTAGGGTTGTTCCCGGGAACTTTGCAAATTATGGCCCAATCCCGTCTCCAAGGCCGAGCCCAAAGGTTCGACTCTCACCACGGCTTTCGTACATGGGACTCCCGAGTCCTAGGACTCCCATAGCTGCCACTAGCTAAGTTAATCGAGTGGAGAATTTATAACTTGGAAAAAGAAATAAAAGTTTGGGTCCTATATAAATAGAGATAGGACACACAACCATAACCTTGACTATCCATTTATTATTTTTTTCTTTACTCTAATTGACCTCCACTATTGTTGCATATGGTTTTTGGTAGTTGGGTTTTTGTTAGCCACATTATTTCATCTCTTTGTAAAGAAATCTGATAAATTCCTAATGAATAAACGATGGTTTATTTTTTATTCAAGTTACTGTACCACAGTTTTATGTTCGAGATGTATGTAGTAAATGATATACAATAGTAGACCTAGCATAACACAGTATGATCTTGAGATATTTGATAGGGGTTAACACCGCATAAAAATCTTTCTGAAACATAAGAAAATAGACATTTTTTATATTAGATATATTTTGAATATAAGAGACAACATAGAAATGTGGATCCCGTTTTTAGAAGTAACTAATGAATTAAGGTTATTGACCAACAAATTATTAATGACATCCACAATGTATTGAATTTCAAAGGGTTGCATAGATTGTCACATCATTTTTCTATATTCCATACAACTCAATTAATTTTTTCCTACAATACATTAAACTCTATAAAGTTCAATGAAAAGTTACAAAAGCTAATTTATAGTATGTATTTAAGATTAGAAAACTTTATTTTTTTCCCATTGAAGAGTTTAATGGTCATTGAACTCCAAATACATTGAATATTAATATGACATCTCACGATGGTAGAGTTCCATCCATTGAATAACAACTAGACTTGTCACATCATTCAACCCTGACATTGAACTCATTATTGTAGATGCTCTAAGTTTCATCTTATTTGGTAACCGATATCCTTTTGTACAATTTATGTCTTGAAGGCAAAAATATATTTCCGGTTACAAGGATGACATAGCATGTTATATGACATTTTGATCCGTATATTTTTGCGAAATGACGTCAATGTGTCTTTTCCTATTAATTATATTTTTTATGCTTATTTTCATTACTATTATTATTTATAAAAATTATAAAGATTTCAAGACATTCAAGTTTTTATTGATCTTTGGGACTTTAAAAACAACTACCACCTCGCACCATTAATTTTTAAGTTTTTTATATTAATGAAATATTGAAGTTTAAAAGCAATTTCACATTTATCTATGTGTAACTGTGTTTGTTAAAAAAAAGCGGTATCGAATTCAATAAGAAAAACAGTAAATATAAATAAGTACATGAAGCCAACCCAAAAAAAATGAAAATTGAACAGGGGGAATGAGACAGAATCGGAAAACTGAAACCCAACCGAAAAAAACAAACTCTAAAGTCTGAACTAAAGAAAACAAACACATAGACCGCAAGTACGAACTGATTTAGACCAGACAAAAACTAAAAAAGGTCGTCAATGACCGGACCAAAATTTCCAAAAACTATTTTAGCAAAGACCCAAAAAATATCTTACCAATTCGGTACCCATTTTTAGGGGTGAGCGCGGTGCAGTTCGGTGCGGTTATTAGCCAAAACCTCACCACTAACCGCAAATGCGGTTAATCCATTTTCAAAACCGCTTGGTACGGTTATTTTTGCGGTGCGGTTAGGCGGTTATTTTTGCGGTGCAGTTTTGTTTTTTCTGTGTTGCGGTTATTAACCACATGGATTTGGTGTGGTTTTTAACCACAGTTTGGAGCTCAAACGGCTTTAAGAGTTCAAACATATTACTTGTAATAATAAAAAAAATCATAAAGTATAAGACAATTAACTTAAATCACAAACAACTAATATCTTAAAAACGTCAAATCAATAGTAATTAACAATAAATATCTTAAATTGTCTAATTTCACCATTTTTCAAAATTAAACATCACAAAAAACCAACACTTTTGTCTTCTAGTATTTTATCAATCTTTCATCCATGAAACTTTGTCTTATTTTTAATATTTAATATACTAATAATTAATAAAAAAAAATTGTATATAATATATGCGGTGCGGTGCGGTTTTTTTGCGGTTTTTTGAAAACTAATAACCGCACCGCACCGCAAATTTGCGGTTTTTGAAAAACAGAAAACCTCACCATCGGTTTTTATTGCGGTTGCGGTTAATCGGTTGCGGTTTATACGGTTTTTGCGGTTAATTTTAGTTGCGGTGCGGTTTTTGCTCACCCCTACCCATTTTATATTTACTTTTATAATCAATATATTGAATTTGAGTATTTGAATAAGACTTAAAAGAAAACCAAGTTTTTGGGAAGAGACCCGATGGGCGGACAAATCCCAAGTAACAACTAACAAGTTGAGTCCGGGTTCGTCTAGTACTTTAGTCTAGAGTGTAGTCCACATAAAGGAGGTAAAAGGATCAGTAACTTCCATCCTTGGGTTGAGAGATTGCTTTTGTAAGACCAGAGGAGGTGGTGTCATTTTTGTCATATCTTTTTACCGTCACGTAGGCGCTACGTCATCTTTGTCACGCTATATAAAACTTTTGCCTTTTAGTAGGGGTGGTTTGTAGAGTTTGAAAATTAAAAAGTAACACATGATTGGTTGGTGGGTGTAGGGGTGAGCATTTGGACCGGACTGGTTACGGAGAATATTGTGGACCTAGGACCGGACCGAATAACTCATGTCCGGGTCCAGGTCCGGGTTCTCCGGTTCTTGGACCCGTTTGGACCGGTAACAATTTAACACAAACATACATATATTGTAATCTAAATCTAACATGTTTACCAACTAACATATACATCAAGTTTACCAACAAAAGTTTAACAATCTTAAGTTCTTAACACAAACATACAAAAGTAATTACCGTAACACCAAAAATCATAGTTTAAACTTTAAAATTAATCCAACTAACAAA